GTTCCTGCATGCCCCTATATGCAAACCAGTACATTTCAACAACACTAATGTAGGTAAAGCTAGAGTAAGCTGGTGCCTTGTGCACGTCGGTCATTGAGTAGAATCTAATACTTCAGTCATTCCAACCAGATCTCAACTTCCATTTGGACCCCCCCCCCAAGAGTCTTCGGCGACAACCGTTCTCATTACCACTACCACAGGACAGTCTCCCAAGATACTTTATTCCACAATAAACCATTCGTCTCCGTTCAAAACTGTACTTTCCACCTGTCGTGGAACGTGAGTTGAACTCCCTCGGAGATACTAGAGAAGCCTACTACATCAGGAGGGAAATACTGAAATCCCACGATCCAGTCAGGACTTCAGCCCTACTTGCTATTCGTCAGCTTGTATGGCAGTTATCTTGGGAGGGAGGCCGCTAGCAATTAACGGCCATGTGATGACTCGTGGAGAAGGTGAGATACCGGTAGAGTATATACCCCCCCATCTCTCTCCCCACCCCCATTTTTCCTTCTTTCTAGCCCCGAAAATCTACCACAGATACTTAAGCCACCACCACTTTCTAACCGATCTTTGAACAGTAGCATTCTTGCAATACACGCAGATGTCCGGGTTGGTGGTAAGACCAGGAATAATAGGAACAAAATGAGACCCTAGCTCACCTAGCCTACCAGCTATAGGAGGTGAACATCCTGATAGGCTTAGGACAGGAGGGTCTTGCATTCGAGCGCTATCCAATCACACCCAGCGCTCCTTTCTCTTTGCCCGGGAAAAAAACAAATGAAAAAACCGCTGATCAATTATTTTAAACTCCCAGCCATGATCAGGCCAGGATTTGAAGATCAGCCGGCTAACGTGCTCCGCGATTCCTATAGATAACCCTGATTCCGAATTCCCTCACTGCCCCCCTTTCCCTCACATAGGCTGGGGGGGGGGGGGGAGAAGATGGGAAAGGGAGAAAATGGGGAGTCTTCACGATCCGGGGGAGAAATGATGTGATTAACATATCACAACACCACCATCCTCACCGATGTTCAGCTTTGTGGATTAAGGTTGTTTCGAAACTGGCTGCCCACCCTACTCCTCTTCCAGCTCCCTGGGTTTGCGATATTTACCTCCGCAGTTGGTGTATGGCAACATGGCGGGAGGTGTCCTCTTCCGGTCTGTTATTATTGTCAGGCCAATGAGAAGTGATATACCGGGGGAGAGAAAGCAGAGTGCAATTATATGTCTAATAAGAAAAAAAATGAGGTATCATAGAAGTAGCGGAAGCAGGAGTAGAAGGGGCGGTTGCCGTAACCTCTGGGTCCCCCCCCGAGGGCAAAACGGAGAGCCCGTTTTCAATAACGGATTGATTGGCAATAGCGTTCTCCGACAGAGCGTCTAATTTCCTCATAATAGACACGATACCTAATACCGACAACGGTATAGGGCGACATCGTCAGTTGACTCATCCTCCACCGCAAAGACTCATACCTTTTCCATTTCCCCCGTTATGCTGCTTTCCCGTGATCCACCTTTATTCGACCCTGCATTCGCCCTTGAAACTACCACTACCATCGACATCCCCATCTCGCTCGATCCAGACCGTGACTATAATTATAACCACCCGTCGCTTAACCCATACCAGACAATCGTTGGCGGGTTAAACAATTTTCGACTCGTCTCGTCCTGTCTTGCGCTACGGTACTGTCTCATCCACCGTACCATTCACCCCATAGCCACCAGCACATGTAGGAAGTATGTACGTATGTACGTATGTGCGTGTTTACCCCAATAACGGTTTTGTAAATAGATTCCATGCGCGCACGATACCGGTACTGAACCTTTATCGCATGCGCTACGGTACGTATGTAACCAACTATGATAATTATGATACACATTTCATGGGGTCTTACTTTTAACGGTGGTGGTAAAACAAGCCACAGGAAATGAATCATTTGTATAACTGTGGCTGAGAGGGGGGGGGTTGGAGAGTTCCTACCGTATTTTCTTGTGGGGCTTGCGTCAGGTCGTGGTTACACTCGGTTCTGTCTGTTTTGTACAGTAACTGTAAGTGCAGTAATTAGCGCTACATGTTTTTTTTTTCACTCGGAGGGATAGAATGGGAGTTGGAATGCTAAGAATTTCTAAAATACAGATTGTGACGTGGGCAAAAAGAAAGGGAAAAATGGTGAAAGAAATAGGTTAGTTAACAAATCAATCTGGTTAATCGAATCAACCTAAATCAAACGCTGAGTATGCTACTATCCTTCAGACTCCTTTCACCCACATACCATCGCTCTCTATCACGCTTAAAAACTCGAGAGAAAAAAAAAATGGCAATAAAAAATGAAAATAAAAATAGAGACGCATGACAATACCATGTAAAACAACCGCAGAAGGAGAAGAAGGAAAAAAACAATGCTCCCGTAAAATCTGGATATGTGCTCGCATATCCTCGCTAAACCAAATCCCAACTCCAGCCCTCATCATGAATCCCTTGATATGATCCAAATGCATATTCTACGCCCAAGCCCTATGATTCCATATCCATGAGCCAAAAAATCCTAATAATATGACACAATATTCGCCCCAGCACTAACCAATCTCTTTGCCAGTCCTTCATGTCCTCCTCCAGCAGCGAGATGCAGTGGAGTCACTCCGCTCCGTAAAATCCAGTCACACTCAACTTCAAGGTCTGCTCCTGCAGATATGAGTCGTTTGGCCACGGTTTCGTGTCCATTCATCGCAGCCCAGTGCAGCGGCGTCCAGTAGACATCTGGTGAGTTGAGTGACTCGTTGAACCGCCCTGTTGCCAGCAACTTTTCCACGACCGCTTCGTTACCGTTCTTTGCAGCCCAGTGCAGCGAGGTGCGTTCAAGGCTATCACGCATACAAGGACGCGCGTGATAGTCGAGTAGCAACTGGATTATGATCTCGTTTCCAGCTTTGGCAGCCAAGTGCAGGGCTGTCCTCTTGAGTCCCCAGGAATCCACGAGATCGGTGCTAGCTCCTGCGTCGAGAAGTTCGTAAACGGCTGCTGCGTGAGAGCTGTTTGCTGCTAGTTGAAGTGGTGTTAGCCCTGATCCCCCACCGTCGTGCCAGTCTGGGTTTGCCCCTGCTTTGATGAGTATGCGGACGATGCGCTCGTGGCCGTTCGCTGCTGCCCAATGGAGGGGGGTTCTGTGGAAGTCATCTGTCTGGAGTACGTTTGCTTCCCACTCTAGAAGCTTGCGAACTACTGATGAGTGGCCGTTTCTCGATGCGCATTGTAGAGGGGTCCAGGAGTAGCTGTCTAGCGTGTCAACGCAGGTGCCGGCCTCAAGGAGGATTTGCACGACGCAGTGATGGCCATTTGCCGCTGCTATGTGTAGTGGTGTCTGCCCGAAGAAGTTCTCTTCATTGCAGGAGTGGCCAGCGTCCAGCAGGAGTTGGACTTCAGAAGAGTTTCCGCTGCGTGCGGCTTCGTGTAAAGGGGTATTACTACGTGTGTAACTAGACTTGGGGGTTTCCTCGACGGGTTCCCAGAGTTCCGCCCCCCAGTCCATATTATCTGATGGAGATCTTAAGGGAGAGTAACTATCATCAGGTCGTGGTGTAAAGCACTCGATATCTGATGGTGTTGCTGTGAACAAGATGCGTTAAATTCAGCCCAGTTTTAGGTAGAAAGCAACAGAGAAGACCATACGCGGTGGGGACTCGGGGAAGATTGGCTCTTTGTGGGACTTTTGGAATCTCTCAATCTTCTGCTCCAGCACGATTCGTTTGCGAACAGTGAAGATCGAGTCCTTTCCTTCTCGCTTTCGCTTTGCTCGGATTCTGATGATGGCTTTCATCTCCTCTGTCTTCACCTTCTTCTCCAAGCCCCAGGCTTTAATCCTCGTTTTGTACTGCTTCTCTCTTTGAACCCGTTAGTAAAATTCACCTGGCGAAGGGTGGGTGAGATGGACGTTGCATGAAAGTCGTATCGAGAACTCATAATTCCCTTCACATCCGACAGATTCTTATCCTCGTCAAAGTAATGTAACTTTATCTTATCCTTTTGGGCGCCCCACTCAGCTCGCGTGTAGACCCTCGGCTTCTTCGACTTTCCTCCATTGTCCGAGTAAGCGTATTGTTGCTGCATAGACATTTTCTCGATGCATGGAAACGGATTCTGATAACCAGCGGGCTCCCCCAACAAATTCTGGAAGGGCATGTCTTATGTATATACCCCCTCTAGTACCGAACGAGGCTGTAGAGGATTTATGGTACAGATTTTTCCGTGCTTGGATGGCTTGGAAAAGTACATGTGTGGGTGGGCTTTTGGTTATGTATGGTCTTTTTGGAGCGCCTTGCGCCGTAGTGGTGCAACGTGACTCACGCGTTACACACTCCAAGGTTTTGGCGATACAGGCGTGCTACGCTACACAAAAAGGGCTATGTAACCTTAATGGAGGAATTTTGCCCAGAGGCACTTTAGGTGGGGAGGGATATGGTATCGGAGCCATGATAGCACCTTGTTAGCCAGCAAAGGCCGGAGGTCGGCCGTGGTATTGGACCCCCTAGCGAGAATGTAAAACCGGGGCTTATCACGATCTATCACTCGGGACGTATTGTTGGCAGTAGACCTGTCTCGAATCCTCACTTTAATTTCAATCAGGCCAATGAGAAGGGAGAAGGCTGTTGTCTCGGCACTTGGCAGTGAAAATTTATTGCACACACATACCCTTTTCAGGGACCTTGCCGAGAGTGGCATCTTGAACAATCCCATTCTCCACGAGCACTTATTGACACGAGTATGGTACCAGTAAATTATCATACCTCGCGTAACTTCTAGATCCGTTAACGGTTGACGTCACCAACACAACCCGAACAAAGCCGATGTGGCTGAGTAATTTCGCTTCCCGTGAGTCAAGATGGCTGGCGGGGGCTTGACATCTAGGACATCGGCCCCCCCCACCTCCGGCAAGTGTGACCACCGTACCTACGGGACTGATCGGAGCCTGCTGCCCTTCGGAGACTGCCTAAAAACTCAAGATAAACCACCCGGATCTCGACGAGCCGGTGCAAGAGGAGGAGGCACTTGGGACTGAACGGTCACTCGAGAAGGGGATAGGAGGACCAATCCCTTAGTTTGTATTGACAGAACCACGGTCGAGACCGCCTTCTACCGAAAGGGATAATCGGAGTAAGGAAAAGCACCAAGGTGCCGGAACGGCAGCGATAACAGGATGAGCCCTGGAGAGCAGCCCAAGGGGAAGTTAGTGAAAGGGGAGGGCAGCGACAAGATAGAGAAGGTACTTGCCGAGCCAAAGTTTGTTATTCAATATTCATTTCTAGAACGGGACAGTGCTAACAGTGGACTCAGTATGTGGTGGATCACCTCTACCGCGTTTCCGCTTATGGCGGCTGCCTTTGGGCCGCTGGCTAATCTGACGTCTGTCTGCGCGCTTGTACAGCCATGGCGGTTACGTATCCCGCCTGGGGGGAAATATAGGGAGGCGTGGGGGATCGATGACCCGGCTTGGTAAGTGATTTTTTGGTGATAGGTGAGATACCTCTGTTGGAGCTGTCTACTGACCCATGTATTGGTAGCGCAGGCTTACCGCTGTTAACGCGGTGTCTCTAGCATTCGCTCTAGTTGCCAACGTTTGTCTACTATTGACGTTTGGTCGCCGAATCCGCTATCAGTTATCTCAACCGATCGTGATAATTTTTTGGTATGAAATTCTATACCATCCTATTCTCTTCTGATAGACACTTTTCTGACGGAAATAGGTATATATCTTCATTTCTATTGATAGCTCTCGTCGCTGCCGCATCCAGGCACCTCCGGCTCTACCCCAGCGAGGAATATGCCTTCTCTCAATCTTACTACTATGCCATACTATCTTCAACGCTCTACTTCATCGCAGCTACTTTCCTGCTAGCAAACTATTTCAACAGCGTAATACTAAAACGCTACCCGCCAATCTTCAGCAAACCGACCCTCCCTCAGCGAGCCTTGATGCTCCAAACGATAAGTCTCACCTTCTACCTCGGCGTCGGGGCACTAGTCTTCAGCAAGATAGAGGCATGGGAGTATGTTGATGGCGTATACTGGGCCGACTATACCATCCTAACTGTCGGCCTGGGTAGCGACTTTAAACTAGAGACAACCCTCTCAAGAGCCCTGGTAATCCCGTTCGCCATCGGCGGAATAATCATCCTAGGTCTGGTAGTCGGTAGCGTCCGTTCACTAGTTCTGGAACGTGGGAAGATAAAAGTAAAACGCCGAGCGGTCGAGAAAGAGAGAATAAAATGGATAAAGCGACTAGAAGAGCAAAGATGCGAGCGAGAAGAGAACCCATCCCAGCCCAAAAGTGAGGAAGAGAAACTCCACGACGATTTCTACCTCATGCGCAAGATCGAGAAAACTGCCCATAGGAAGAGTAAATGGACCTCCCTCGCCACTTCCTTGTCAGCGTTTCTGTTCCTCTGGCTGGGTGGCGCCATGGTTTTCACGTTCTCGGAGCGGCGCCAGAAATGGAGCTACTTCGACTCCTTGTACTTTTCTTATATAACTCTCTTGACGATTGGGTACGGTGACATCTACCCGGAGTCCAATTTGGGAAAGCCGTTCTTTGTGGTCTGGACAATGATCGCCGTGCCCACCCTCACGATCTTGATATCGAACATGGGCGACACGGTGGTGAGCATGATACAGAAAGCCACATTCTGGGTCGGTGCGAAGACAATCCTGCCAGACTTGGACTCCAACATCTCACTCACTCGGAAACTCAAGCGGATGAAGCACACCAAGGAGGAAAAACAACTTGAGGAACCCGCCACAACCATCGCCAACACCTTCCCAGAGCAGGCACACAACCAACAAGAAAAAGGGCAACTCCTGAAACAGTTAGCAGCAGAAATATGCTCGCTCACAAAACACACAACCAGTGAGACGCCAAAGAAATACTCCTTCGAGGAGTGGGTGAAGTTCTTGGGATTATTAGGGATTGCGTGGAAAGAAGGGGACGAGTGGAGTTGGTTGGATGACGGAGGCCCACTGGCGAGTCCGTCGAGTGAGACCGAGTGGCTACTCGAGAAGATGTGTCAGAGGTTGGAGGGGGATATCGAAAGGTTGGGCAACGAGGACGGGATTAGGGACGTTCATGAATCACGAGAGGGGTATGGTAACCGCTCGTGAGATGTAGGCGGGGAGGGGGGGTATTACCTCTAGTATATTGATTGTTTGTTTATTCTTTATTTTTTTTGGGTACATATAATTCGGGTTCGACACAGTGTATACTCAGAGGGATCCCGGAGCCTCCATGATGACTTGACTTGCCTTTTTCCTACATGGTCGGTTTTTGTATTCATTATTTTGTAAAGTATCATATGATACCAAAACAAAACATTTCATCTGACACTAGTTTATACCAAATTTGGAGATATCATAAGTAGACATTTTCAATGCGACAACCCCCAACGCTACCTTGTCGAGAACATGTGGAATTTTGACATCAGCCATAAAATCACTTTGCACTTAATACTGCACAAAGGAAAAAACGGGACAATTCCATTCCCCGCCAAAACAGAAATGGGGGCCACCCGGAATAATAACTGACCGCCCCTGAGAACGTTCCAAATTCCCAATGATCCCCGAAAACCACCAACAGCCCTTTTTTTTTAAAAAAAAAAAAAAAAAAAAAAACACACAGCCAAACGAAACCACCCCATCCGCAACCGCTGTATGATACTAATAGAGTAAGTTAGTCAAAATTCCCTTATGATACAACACTGCCTCCAACCCCCCCCATATCTGGGTATACCAACAACCGCAACCAGAGCACTTTCAATTCTAACCAGCACAGCACCCGAGATATACATCTATTCCCCCCCCAAAAAAAAAAACCGCAGAGGGCGGAGCGGAGGAGTGGTAGGACAGTGCACCAAATTCCAGTTTTGCCTCTGCGCAGAAAAAGGTTTCCCTATTATCCGGGTTGTTGTCGCCGGCTGTGCCAGCCCCATACTCGCGGGGACCTTAAGTTGGATGAAGAGAGGATTGGAATGGGGCTCTGGTTGAGGGCCATTTGGCGGTGTTTTCTTTTCTTTCTTTTCTTGCTTCTACGCACCCTTTTGCGGTTAACTTACGGTTTTTCGTGGCCCGATGCTTTTCAAGTCCTCCCTCGTATAATAGGCATTGGGATGTGTTCTGCGAGAAGGGACGAAACAATGTCAATCCCCGGACAGAACATAAATTACCTGTAGGGATCGAATGATAGGTGTGATGATGATGTTCGAGGCTCAAGCATGGGAGTGATCATACTAATCACTCGGCTAGAAGTATTACAAGTACCGGTGGATTAGACTGCCGGTATTCTTGCCCCCCCCCCTCCCCCAACTTTGAGGTTGGGATGTAACCATGGTATCCCCAGTGGTTCGGGGCGATCAATCCTAAACGGGGGGTGAGAACGGTCTGACAAACTGCCGTATCCCCCGAATGACAGGACCTTGTGCTAGGACGTTGGAAGCTGCCTCTTCTGGTAAAGCTCTTGTGCTCCTTCCTTATTTTGTTGTGTTTTTTCGCTCCCCTTTTCCTGAGGAGGAAATTTCGGACTACAGTACCAGCCACATGATCCGCCCTTTCGGGTTCTTACTGCGTGCGAAAAAACAACACCGTTTTTCTATTCTATTTCTTACTGTATCAAATATTGCGAACACAAGCTTGCCGCACAATAATTACAACACAAACTCCCCAGACATAAACAATCATAAAGCCATATCGTTACCATGAAACGATATTCCAGGTACTGTGCCTCGTTCACAACAGCAAGCCAGGCACATAATAAGACAAAACTAACAAAAAAAAAAACTCCAAATCTAACCACAAAAAATATCTCCAGGACATCCAGTAGCAATTCCGTGAACACTTGACCCGAACCCTGCAATCTCAGCAATAGCACTAACCACCCCGCCAAACCCTTCACCAGCCATCATACCAGCGGCAATAGCGTAAGCGAAGATATCGAAGGTGGCAGGATTCCTCTTGGCCCAGAAGTAAGCAACGAAAGCGCCAGTCGTCATAGCAGTAGCGTACTGCGTTTGTGGAAGGACGAAAGCGAGACCCATGGTCATAAAGTTGGGTACGTATGCTCGGTACTTCTCACGGTGTCCTGTAAGGTAGTTGTGCCTCACGAGGACCATGATTACTGCTAGGATGGCGAAGAGAATGGAGAAGATGCCGGAAGATTTCGGGATTGGTATGGTTGGGTTTGTTGCGGCGATTGCAACGGCACGCCAGGCTGCGGCTGATGGGGCGGAAAAGGTACATTTCTCAGCCTCGAGATCTACAACGCAGGGGTAGGCCTTCATGAATAGGATGAAAATTCCTGGGGACATAAACATTGCGACAACAGAACCCATCGCTTGCGCGTACCATTGCAAAATTGGCGGGGTACGGAGGAGGAAGCCGACCCTAAAGTCAGCTGTGAGATCAGTACTTTGGGATGCAGCTCCTGATGCGATGGCTCCTCCGATAAGATTCAGTCTTTCAGCAGTAGCTTGCGGGAGGTTAGCACCCGATGATGCACCACCAAGGATGAGTTGGGAGGCCTTTGCAGCCGTGGTCAACGGGGTAGCATCCGTTACCCCTGTACACTGAATCACCAAGAACGAGAAGATGAAACCTAGGAGAATGGCGAGAATCGACATGCCGACGTTCAAGTGATACTGCAGGCCAAGGACAATGCAGGTTGCAATAATAGTGACGATTAGTGCGGGGCCCCATTGCCAGAGTTTGACTTGTTCATCTTCCGATGCGGGGTCCTCAACCAAGTCCTCCACCTCAATCTGGGAGTGTTTTTCGAAGAATGGGATCTCCCTGCCAAATTTTCTTACGCTCGTGTTGAGGCCCATTGCAATTCCTTTCCAGGCCGATTTGAAAGCGAACCAGATTAATTTGTACTGCACAAAAAGTTCGGCGAAGGAGGCAGCAAGCATCACAAGTACACCGCTATTGATGGTTAGCTACCGTATGAGGATTTCAGATGCCACAACGGGATACATACGGCCAGAGAAGCCAGTACCGGGGGGAAGGATGGTTGATGGGATCCTTTAGGTTGAAGGAATAGAAGCTAACTAAATCCTTCCACTTTTCGTATCCTGGATCCCCCTCCGAAAACATTTGAACGCCATATGCCATGCCGTTATGTACAAGAGTAGGGCCAATGATACCTAACCGCCCGTTAGGCCACTCACCTATCATGCGGGGGTATTGAGAGGAACTCACCCCAAGCAAGGACGGAACCAGCGAAGAACGAAATAGCAGGGTTAAGACCAACAAGCATTCCACTTCCGATAAATGCAGGAGTCCATTCAAAGATCCAGCCCCAGTTCTCAATGGCAAGGGCCTGGTTTGTGTATCCAGACCAAACAAAGAACCAAGTGGAGATATGCCAATCCCACAAAACGCCGGGAACATAAGAAGACCCAACACGGAAGCTAACTGCAACGAGAAATGATATAGATAGTGCCTTGGTCCTCTTCTTCGAAGCCCTTCCCGCAGCCCCGGTAAGGGAATGCATAGAGCGGATGGCCATTGCCGTGGCGGTTGCCGTGGGGAAGTAGAGCTTCAATTCCCTCGCAGTATGGATGATGAAAAACTTCCGCACTTTTACATTCTAGTTAGTCAATGCTTCTATGAAGAGAAGAGAAGAACAAACATACAAGGAGTAGCGAAAAACAACCCATAGTACGCCGAGACAATGGTGAAAGTGATCAAACGGGGAAAATCCGACACAGGGTCCTTGAGCAATTTCAATTGGTACAGAGCCGGAATGGCAGTCACAAAGATACCGCCGAGACCACCGGCAGCAGTAGCAGCAGTCTGAACAATGGAGTTCTCCTTCGGCCCGAACGAGCCACCAAGAATGGGGAAGTTCTGACCGAGCGTCTTGCTGAATGCTGTCAAGATAGCAAAACCAAAGATGGCTCCAACCAAATTCGCCGCAAAGGTGAATCCGGATTTCAGACCTTTACTCTCATCGTACTGTTAGTTTATATCATACTTGTTTTCGTTATTTCATTATATTTGCCCTACAAGGGATGTGCCCTCACTCACCTAGATAAACGTTGGAGGCATTGACCAAACCTCCTAGGATACACCCAACAACAACCGCACGAATAGTGAGAATCTGTGAGCGAGCTTCTTCCGGGGCTCCCTCCACGATAGGAAACGGGGTGAAGGGATCCCAATCGGGCTCAGATGCAATGCTGTCGTCCTCATCCCTAGCCCTGTGTTTCTCATCGAAACCATGTTTCTCCTCTTGCGGGAGGGTTTCTATGCCCCCCATGATCTCATTGGCGTTGGTACCCATTCCCTTCCAGCGAATCCTTTCCAATGGCTTCTCGAAACTCAAAGGTAGAATTGGGGGTGGGACTGGAGAGGAAAGAAATGAGAGAAGAAAGAAGGAGGGCGGATCAGGAATATGAGCCGTTGACTTTGTATATAAGCACTCTCTCCCTTACGGTAACGGCAGTTTCTTTCATGGCTACAGCTGGGTGCTAATTGGAGCTCCCTCGATTAGGGACGATATGGTTGCGTGATCCCATTCGCAGCGATAGGCTACGATATCTCTACCCTTAGGCTCTCGACGCGCGACGGTAAAAATTCCCTAGGTGCATATGGGAGCCCGGCGAGCTGCACGCAATTCTGCCCGGTCTATCGCTCCAGTTGCCCGGTGCTATTACAACCGCTTCATGCAAGGTCCCTTGCTTCCTTGCCCCCTCCTCCATCTACTCGAGTATCATACTCTTCCTCTTCTTGTTGTCCCCCCCTTCTATCTGCCTACTACGGCTAACTAACCCCCCTACATGAACGATAAAGCGACTCCATAGCACTCTACCGCTACATCCCGCTGAACCGGATACCTCGCTGAACAGTAGAAATTCTGCGGCAGCGTCCAATCCTCATATAAAAGCACTCGCTGGATCAGAGAGGAAGGGTATCCGGATTCGCACGGGACTTGAATGTACCGTGCCCCTTGTTTCCAGCGCAATCTTATATGTGTTGAACCGTACCTGCATTCCTGGGTAAACTTAGAAGGACTATCTCGAAAAAGGGGAAGAGAATACCGGTAGGATGAGAATACCTACAATGATTGAACGACAAATTGGCCTGGTAGCATCGGAGGATGCGGGTTTTCCCACCCCTTGTATCTTATACACAGAGGGTGTTGCTCCCTCGCGGCATTACCCGCGATGTTCTACCGATGGTGCCATACACTTGGCAACAAACGTTTCAAGTACGGTACCATCGAAAAAGTGAATTACACTTTTGACCATCCACAAGATGAGGAAAGACTCAAAAATAAACTGTTAGGTTTTTTCTCCCTCCTTTTCTTTCAGCCAGAAAAGACTTCTGTACATTGGCCTGCTCTCACTTAGAAGTGAGTTAGTGGTTTTTGGGTGATCATACGTTGCGCCAAGAATTCTCAGTTGTTTCCAGTCCCGGATCTCGATAATCCGGATACCTCGCTTTCTCGTATGAATCTCTATGAACTCTGTTTTTTTGTTTTTTGTTTTTTGTTTTTTTTCAACGAAATCCTGACTCGCTGTCCCGGATCCCTCGTTGTGCCGGACGGATGTTTCAGATTTTAGCAGTCCGGGACAGCGAGGTGCGACTGTACTTGGGTTGATTGGGTTGTATGAGGGATGGAGATGCTCACAGTCTGTGTGTATCTCGGATAGTATACGGCAGCATGCCCCGGCCAACAATGACACCCGAAAGGTATGCATAAGAATGTATGGTACTCGAGTACTCGAGTACCGGCGTCGAAAAGGGCTTCTCGCCGATGCTAGACTATCGTGCATGTACCCCAGACGCATCAATCGCCGTCACGGGTCATTCACCGTGTTGTGGCTCGACGAACCAAGTTGTGGGCATCAATAGTTGATCAATTATGGCAGTATCAGACACTCCCTGGAGTATGTCCTCGACCACTCGGGAACAAGCACCTCCAGGTCACGTGCTCCTCTCCATCGTGATGATATTTGTAGAAGAGAATGCTGATAAATCTCAAGCTCAGCTAGGGTGAGCTCGAAGTCAGAAGTTAGATCTACCCCACTTATTGTCCCCATGATTCCCAGTCTCTCTCTCAGGCCGAAAAATATCAACCGCTCGAAAGCGAGAAACGTTGGCGCGGCAAAGCTATTTTGGAGCTCCGGGAGCCAAACCCCCTTCTATTTCTTCTTCCTCCGCAGTCAAATCCAGGTCTTCAGAAGTTACCAGTCTTGGCATATACACGCCAGGACCGATAAAAACGGCCCTGGAACGTGCCCACTGCAAAAAGTCACCATCATGCTCCTCCCCGGGGCTCCCTGCGGCACACGCCCAGATATTATAGCGCAGATGATTCCCCACCCCTGCCCCTCTCTCCCTGCTCCTTCCCCGGTTTGAGATGGTGAAGTGTCCGAGAAGAGGGAGAGAAAGTGCAATGCGCACTTTTATTTTGATGACCAACTGATCATAAACAGGTTAAAATTCACTTTGACGCAGGGGGTATGTTGATCGCGCCTCCCATAGCGGTAAGGTTTTATGCACAACCCGGAGTTGAGATATATGGTGTTGACAGGTATGATACATACTGACACCCCGCTACCCCGGACGGCCAGAACCTCCGGCTTTCATCCGATATCATACCGGTATTCATGTCCTTGGACTGAAGTCGGTTTTTTTTTGTTTTTGTTTTTGTTTTTGGTGGTGCTGTACTGTGCAAAAATAGGCGCGACTTCGATGGCATGAGTACATAGGATAACAGTAGGGCATACAAGGCACAAAGTATAGTATCATAAATTATTTCTGCCAATATCAATGAATTTTATTCCAAGCAATCCAACTGAGGCTCCCACGATCTCTATCTCCCACTCTGCGCCTTTAGATTATTTTGCAGCATCGCGCGCTATGCCTTGGTCGCCGGGGCGAGTGACTCGCACTTGTATCAAACCTCCTAGACTTTCATAATTTGAAATTGCTGCAGTTAGTAAGAAGTGTTGGTTCTTCGGGCGAGAAAAAAAATTTGAAATCCACTATTGTGCACTGAATTGAGTTGTATGCGTCGATGTCATTTCTAGACACTCCACAAGGACCCCCCTCCCTCGACCGGAGACAATATGGTTTTTAACGCCGTCCACCACGGGGTAAGTATTCCATGCATCCAGATTTACTCGTAAAAACCTAATCCTTGGCGTACAATGGATCCGGATATATGTCCACCGCAAAGCCTCCAAGTCGATTGATTCCTTCTTCGCATATTGGTACTCGAGTACCCCGGTTGACGGTAGACGGCATGTAGGTTCTTGATACAAGCACGATACCTCCTCCCATTCTGGCGAATAGTGGCTTTAGGACGGAATAGTGGCAAGCTACCTACCCCGGAGCAGCAGTGAGGGGCCACCCAAAGCTCAGCGTGCTTCCCTAATATTTTCCGGTTCGTGGATTTGAAGGTGTCCGTTTTTCTCCCCGTAGCCTAATGAACGCCTGCGGGCGTCGGATGCACACTTCCGAAGGGAGTAGTTCACTGAGATAACTTGATATAGGAAAGATTCTGTAAATTACTGTACGAGCACCCAAGGCAAGAATTGGGCAAAACTATGATAGTCCCCCCCCCCCTAATGGCCGGTGGTAAAGGCGACCACCCCGCAGTCCAACGGTCCAGCGGACAGGGAATAGACTAATTTATCAAGACGTGGTCGAGTTGACACAAATCACCGAGCTAAATGGTAATACCCTGACACAACACCGTCATAACGTCATGGAACTATCGCGAGAGCAAATCACGGAATAACCCACCTGCACCTGCCCGACCTCTATCAAAAGTTTTTCTTCCTCTAGCTCCCCCTCTTCTAGAGATTATCCATGTTATTGTCAGGAAAACCGCACAGTGAGTAGATTACAGTACTCAAATAACTTTAATGTATCGCACGCTTTCCTTCGGTGATTGTGTCCAGGGAAAGTTTAAATCATTTAACCCACCATCCCTGCACTGTATCTATACAGTATGATACTCGGGGGGGTTGCGAAAAAATCGAAAACTAGAGAGGTCCCTGTTCTTGTGGCAAGGATCTAAAACAGTAACCAACTTGGAAACAGCAGGTATTTTGGACACAATTGCGGCAACCAGGAGTAGCCACCTGGTACTCGAGTATGATATCCCTAGGACAGCATGACAATAACAAAAATTTAATAGGTGTGGGTTGGAATTGGAAATAGCTCAATTTTATACAAGTTCATTGAGATAAGTGATAAGTTTCTCTAAACCTTGACTCTCACTTGTCCCACCGGTGAAGCTTCAGAGCAACTGGTCTGAGTTTTTGACTTTTGTAACGTTATGTTCCTTTCCAGACGATATGATCGTCGGATCGGATAACCCCAAGATCACCACCCACTAGTTTCCAAATTTTAAGGACCCCCCCCCGAGTACTCGACGCCCCTCGAGGTCCCCGCAATATGAGAAGAAGTGATCCACTTCTAGTATATACCGGTAATTGATGGCTTCACGGGCGCCGGGTTTTTCGGGAACTACCGTCTTCCAGGCTCAAGGACATGTAACTCACATTATGGAGACTTTATAAAAGCGGCGTGTGCTCTCCGATATTATCCACAGTGCCTCAAATTATACGATAATTGCCCTTTTCCCCGAGGACTTGTCACGCAAAAGACGATACCGGAATATACAAACCTCCCACGATAATAGTTTGCGCAACATGTCACCACGTGTCCACACATTCACCCCGCTCACGGCTCTCGCAAGGGAGTGACAGATCCGTCGACGATCTTTAGGGACCGACCATCTATCCATCTATCCCTTACACTTTCTTCGCAGACGCTCTCCAATCCTTAATGTGATCACCGATTATCTTTGCAGCTTGTTCAGGAGTGTGTTGTCTTCCTAGAGCTTCAACGAAGTCTCCCTCAGGATCTAGGTGTTCCCCCAAAAAGATATTCCCACCACCCTTCTCGGGAGGTTAGGGACATGGCAGTATTGTTAGTATAAATTTACCGAGTGAGAAGCTCGCTGCCAAACAAGGCTTTGCGAAGTGCGGGCAGGCAAGGATTTGGCGGGAAAAAGCAAAAAGAAGGGTACCTAACGGGGCGCGGGGGACGATGTTAAACTTAAAAAGACGTACCCATGAGATAGAAGTAAATGGAGTGATCCACCAAGTAATCCTGCCCTGGCTTGATTTCCGGTGGAGTGGAGAAATAAACACGATAAGACTTGCATGTTTGCTTGATTTGATCATAGGTACCTGTATCAGTTAGAATCACTTTTAGTAGGGTATTCCAGGCCAGCTAGCTTCAAAGAGCAAAACACTCTCGGCTCCCATCACACAGAGAACCTAGTATAATATGCTAGAGCACTCGAATGCCAAGCAAAGAGCAGAGAAGCGAGTGGGCAAGGTCTCAAAGGGAATCGATATGAACCGTGGAATCCGGCTCATCCTAGCGAATCCAAAGAACTCCAGACAACCCCCAGACAGAAGCACGTACCTGTCAAACCGACAAGGTCTGGGTGAAACTCTGCCAAATACCCTTTCATCTGTAACACCCATTAGTTATATCGTTAGGAGAATGTTGCGTTGCGCCGGTATCTTGCGCCGACTGTGAGGTCCCCAATTTATTGGATTGGCAAGTAATAGGAGGCAATCGGCATACTAACCACTGGAGGTGTATCTCTAGCCGGATCACAAGTAATGAACAAAGGGCTCATTACATCACCGTGTTCTTTCTTGACCACTACCCCCCAAAAATTAGTAAATCCAACACAAGATATGTATGGAGGGGGGGAAAGAAGGGCTACGGGAAGTGGGGCGGTGGGTTCTAGGGCTAATTTAGTCAGGTATCTCGAAGGCGCCGGAAGGCGATCTGCACCGCTCATCGGGCCGTGTATCACTACGAGCGGCACAGGAGCACAGTAGAGAAAAGGTGCGGGTTTTTGTAAACCGAAAAAACACAAAGTATATCCCGCAGATATGACATGAATAGCATGAATAGATATGAGATAGCAGATCACCGAAACAAATAAAAGCGCCGGCCCCCAATGCAAGGGAACCTCCGGGAGGCGGGTGTAACTACTTACGATCAGTCATAGATGCCATTTTGTCGAGCTCCTCTGGGCATATATCCGGACAATGCGTGAATCCAAAGTATACCTGCAAGTTCTAGTATTAGCATTGAATCTAGCGACCTAGAAGGCCAAGAGGGAAAACATTTCCTTCCCATCCATATCACTTACCAACATATGTTTACCCCTCCACTCCTCATCCTTCCTCTCTTTGCCATTGTGGTCGAGCAAATTTAACGGGCCACCAACCTTTGGCCTTCCAACACCCTTCGACATTTCCGCAACTCTCTTCCGTTCTATCCGAGCTTTCTCATTGCGAAAGTAGATGGTCAACCCGGCACCGGCAGCAAGAAATAAAATCCCAGACTTCCATGAAAATGGCTACAATCAATTCCGCAATATATATTCGAAGAATCAGCTGATAAATTCGTAGAGAAACAAGAGGTAGAACAAGACAAGCTGACCCCATTGCGATACCGAGATTTTGCCTGCTCAACCGTTTTGAAGTCGAGTTTTCTTGACGATGCGTGAAAGCCCGGCCTGCCACCGGCACCTTTGGCGAATGACGCCTGGGGTAGTGACGTAGTTCTAACAGGGGACGTAAATAATCTAATGCCCGGGCGGGTGACGGAGCTCCTCGATAGACAAGCAAAAATTGGGGACGCCATCGCCTGCTATTCTCTTCCCGCGAGAGTTGCGAGCGAGTTGTGGTGAGATGGAATGGGTTGCGGATTTGGTGGATGTGGAATTGGTTGGTAGGGCAATTGGTGGGATGTTCGGGATTCGGTTACTTTCCCTTGTGTTACGGCATCGGGTGGGCTTTTGTTCTCGACCACTCAGAGGATCCTCACTAGCCACTGGGTGAGATTTCCATAAACTTTTTGCTTCGCCAAAAATCAGCGTATCGTAGATCAGCTAAGTAGCTGCGGAAGAAACTGCTACACACGCAGTAACTTCGACGAATGAGCCAAAGTTCCACAGACTCCCCCATTTTAAAGACCATGTTCGGCGTGTTACAAGTGCCATGGTATTTTCACTTTTATGGTACACCTTTCACGACATTATTATAACCAATTGAAGGTGTGTTTGGCTTGCCACAAATACTGTCGTATATTATCATACTTTTTTAATCCAGTATTTTTTGCGGTACCACAGGGGTCAAGGGAAAAAAAGATTAAAATACTGTATTCTCGCCCCAAGTGTCAGTGATGCTTACATTTTTAATTATCCTTTTTCGTCTTCTCCCCCACACCATGTTATGACCTAGTTCGTTGAAAACAAGCATATATGATACAGCGTATTTTTTTTTTCAAATTCCTTGAACAATCCAACATAGCGATCCTATAAGGTTGTTCTAGAAAACGAAGATGCTGTGCTAAAATACAAGCAATGCTGAACACATTTATTTCCAGATAAATCATACAATACTATTTTTATTTTAGCTTTTAAGGTATTTTCAAGAAATGCTATTACTTTTATAAAATAGTACAAGGGATTACCCGTGTGGGAAGCACCCGGAGTATAAACATGTCGCAGTACAAACTGTATATATAAGTATTTCCTGAGTCTGATAGTTCTGAAAAAAAAAAAAAAAAAAAAATGTAGTGGACTTTTGTATATATCACTGAAGGCCAGCACAATTTGATCCCACTTAATAAGCATTTTTCAGTTATTACTATAACAAATCAAATACTTCAAAAATAAAATAGTCTTTTATTATAATTAGATCTCCTGGTTATAGAATTTCAGTTTACATTACAAAATGCAATAAAGTAATGATAGTTTAATAAGGGTTAACTGATTTAGACCTTTTGTAAAATATAATAATATTATTATTATTTATAACTTTTATGTTCAATCATACTTTAGGATGAACCTGAAGTAGGTATATTAGGTAAAGACAACCTGTATAGACACAGAGTTGTCTAGACCAACCAAGATTCGTTTCTGTAGACAAAAATTGTCTGGAAACACTTGAAATATACTTATTTCGTTTATGACTACTAAGAGTAAAGTGAAGTAGGTAAAGTAGAATAGAATCATAAGAACAATATTATATGGTAAAGGTCTCTTCTCTATTGCTTGATGATGTCTAAAAGCTTTGGAGGGACTTTGATATTTATATTCTGCATCTGAGTGTTTGCGGACTACATCTATCTATTATACAAACAATGTACCTCTTTGGTTATAACTCGCAACATCAGGTATTCTCCAAAGGTGTGAACACCTGAAAACCACCATACCTTCTTTGGTAATTGGGGTATTGCTAACTAGGAATTATACCATTCCCAATACTAATTATCTGATCTTCACAGTCTTTTAGACTTATGGCCTAGTTCTCAAGTTGAACTAAGTTGGGCCCAATTGTCTCCCTTATTAATAAAATGATCAGTTTCATCTTCGGGTTGTATCCGCAGAGATAGTTGCAATTTCAACCTTGCTAGGTTACCTGATTTTTAACCTCTATAACTCAGGATCCAATTGATAGATATCTTCCAGATAACTTTCAACTAATTTGTAGGAAGTTATTCTACTGGATTGGCAGATATTCCCTAGGCCTGTACCATTTGATTGCTCTGGGTAACAGGGTTTCAGTTGTTGTCCTAGTGTTAAGAATTATTCCCACAACTATAATACAATCATGGGCCCAATAGTAATACTGTGTGAAGTTCATTAGCTTCTGTGGTAGTATTTCTCAGAGTTCTAGACTATTATAGTTATCATAGGGTGGGTGCGAATGTATTGGCCTCTTGTAAAGATCCTTTAACATTTAATATTATCTCTTTATGCAAATATGTCCTGTTACTTACAGCTCTTATCCTAGTTGTCACAAGTTTGAAGCCTAGTAACTATCTAAGTAGTTGACGGATCTATCCTGTTCTAATTCCCAGACTTAGCCAAAGGTCACTTCTCATATATCCTGTAAATAGTATCCAGTCGGATGGACAGTAGTGACATAAATAGTATTATTCTTCCAGCTCAAATTCGGTGACCTTATACTTACATAACACAATTGAGATAAGTACAAATAATGACATGTGGGCATTGGAAGGGGGCCCGAGGAGCATGTTAGAGACCAGAGATTCCGATTCTAAGTGGGGTTACCCTACTTAGATTGGTTCTTAGGTATTGGATCTTGGTATTTCTAACATAAGTTTCTTTCTCTTAAGGCTTTGTTTTGAATGTCTTCTTTTATCAGGCCCCTCCTGCTAAT